CCCAAATTCTTAAGAGATCTTTCAAATCTTCTATTTGAAGCCATCCCACACTTTAGCTCTTGTGTAATTTTCAAAAAGATTGTTGAAACTTCACAAGCATTTGGCAATTATTTACATTTGGATGCCATCTTGACATCCAAGCGTTGACATCTTCAGGTATTTATTGAGATCATTTGTGGTTTAGCAAGATCTGGAAATCTCAAAAACGTTCCCCCTTACCATCTAAACAATCTTAGAAAGGAAGAATAATGGAACAGTTATTGTGAAAAGGGGTTTTGAAAAGTATTATTTCTCAGTTTCTTTTCATCAGCTAGCAAGCAAATTTCATTAATTTCCAAGTTTTGAAGAAGGTCGAGTATATAATACTGTAAGATGCAGTTTGGAAATAGGTGATCCTCCTAAAATTGCTGAACTTTAGTAGTAGAATTTTAGTAGGTAGTATTCCATATCAAGGTCTACACCCTAGGCATAGGCACAACTATATGGAATGCTAATATTATAGCAATGGGAAGACAAATTGGGATAGCTATTCAATGATAGTCATTGAGATTCTCCTCCTCCTCCCCCCTTTCCTTTATATTCCTTCTTCATATTCCTCCTCCTCCTCTTCCTCCTCCTCTTCTTTCTTCTTCTTCTTGAAGAATGATAAGAATTGTCATTTCTCTTTTCCCAACTTTGGCCTATCAACATCATATATTTGTCCTGTCCTTCTAAGATGCTTTCCTGGCTACAAGATACAAGATGATCAATTAGCAGCAATTTATTATTATTTTTTTCCCAGTTTCAATAATGTAATTGGGACCCAAAAGATGCTTCTTTTTTCGCATTCACTGTGACCAAAATCAGTCCAAACTAAACAACACCATGTTCTCTTTAAAAGAATATTTATTTCCAATTTCTTTTATCCTCCACCCCCACCCCCATGGACAGTGATAGGATTACAGTATGTAACGAAGACCCCACCCCCCAAAGTACACAAATGATTAAAAATATTTGTTTCAGCTAAAACAAAATCCACAGTAACTATTATATACTTATGGCTCAGTGGTTATCTAAACAAATGCCAGGAAGAGAGAAAAACTAAGATGAGTTTCATTCCCAGATACAAAAATTCAGTCAACCAGGAAATTTGAAGTATTCCAAAATTCTTCCCTCTTTCTTTTTCTGGGAAATGAATTGTTCTTCACAGCCGTTGCACAACTTCCATTCTCTACCTCAAAACCAAGAGAGAGCCACATTAATTCATTTTGAATTCTGGAATACATTCCCGCAAGGATTTTTAGCTCAAGAAAGTATCATCCAACCCATGTCAACTTCACTTCTGAAAGACTTCCATTTCTGCCCTCAATCCTGTGGAAATTAGCTAAAATGTCCCTTCTCCCAATAACTTCCCCCAACCTTTTACATCTTCTAATCAATGGAATCTAGATCAATATTTCTAAACCTTGTCAACTTTAAGAGGCATGAATTTCAATTTCCAGGATTCTCCAGCCAGGAATTCTTCTCCAGACCACAAGCACGTCTTCCTCAGAAGAAAGAGCTTGAGTCAGAACTGAAAGTCCCCTTGAATCTATAAAAACGAAAATGGAAAACTACAAGGCAGGGTTAATGAATAGCATCAACAGGAAGTCCTTAATGTGTAGGACGCAACAGGCTGTTGCTTCGATATCCCTTGATACCCTGATGCCTTCAAACCAGGGGTGAAATTCAACCGGTTCAGACCGGTTCAGATAAGGATGATTTGACTCAGTTCGCCAAACTGATAAAAACCACTCCTGGTTGGCCACGCCCATGCTTGCCTGCTCACTGCTCACCCTTTCCAGCCACTCGCTTGCCCCTTCTGGCTGCCCGAGGAAATCCAAGCAGAGTGGCACAGCAGGCAACAGTGTAATTTTCGCTGCAAGAAGCCTGTACAGCCACCATCTTTTTTTCAGCACAAGCATCCAGACGCACCAAAAAAGAAGAAGAAGAGTCTGCAAGCATTTTGCGACATGCGGTGTGTGTAAGATGCGGGCTGGCGGAGAGCCCAGCGGTGACGGCTCAGCCCTGGCTTTCCTTCCCTGGCAGCCAGCCGTAGGAGGAAGATAAAGATATGTCACATGGCAAAGGGTGAATGGGAAGCCTTTGATAGATTAGGCCGGGCCTGGGCAGAAAATAGGTAGAATACAAATTCAAAAAATTTTGCTACCAGATTCTGTGGACGTGGCTTGGTGGGGAGAGTCATGTGACTGAGTGGGCATGGGAGGGAGTGACATCGAGTTGGCCATGCCCACTCAGCCACAGGGCCACCCCCCCCCCAACCAAGCCACGCCCACAGAACTGGTAGTAAAAATAATTTGAATGTCACCACTGCTTCAAACTATTTTGCTTTGCTGACGGATAGGTGCAGCTGAACTAAGCAGTTGACAGAGGAGACGAGTGGATTTGCTTCTAGAAGCATCTCAAGATCTTATTTCGCACTTGGAACAATGGCCTGCTGAAAACCTTTCTAAGCTGAACTGTAAATTTAGTCTTCTTTTTTTTTAAAGAAAAAAAAGTAGTTTGTAGTTTTGGTGAGTTTCTTACAACATGTGGAAATGGATTCTTTCTTGGTGTTTATCAAAATATCAAAAACAGTACTTTTTTGTATAAACCCACAGAATACTATAAAAACATCTTGGGTATTCAAGCCAATTCAGAGGGAGAGAAGGTTGCAGGAGATCCTCAACTTATAACCATTCATTAAATGACTTTTACACTAGCGCTGGAAAAAAAAGGAACATAAGATCAGCCCTCAGGACTCTCATAGTATAACCAAAGATTATGAACACAATTTGAGTGTATGTATTTATTGACAGTTGCAGTTTCCTGGGTCACGTGATGCCCATTTTGATCTTCTCATCCAACCTCTGACAAGCAAAAACTGAGGAGGTGGGGCGGGAGCAGGAAGTCAGATTCATTTAATAGCTCCATCATTCACTTAACAACTGCAGTGATTTGCTAAACATGGCAAAAAAAGCTTGTGAAATTGGTTGCAACTCACTTAACTATTCCCCTGCTTAGCAATAGAAATTCTGATCTCATTTGTGGTCATAAGTTGAGGACTGCCTGTAAATCTAGCCTGACAGTTGCCAACTTGAAAACTGCTTTTGTTGGGCAGGTTCCTCTGAGAAAGGTTCTTATTTACAATAATTGTTCAAAGAGCTGAGTTATTTCTTTATCAAATATAGTTTTGCCTGGCCAATCATGTTGACAAACCTGAAGTCCATTTATGCACTCCTCATGACTAACATTTGAAGTGGTACAAAGCAATTCCAGGGGAATGAAAGTATAAATTTAAGAACCCGTCACACAAGTGTTTGTCCTGCACAATTGTTTAAGCTTCCTCCAGTCTTCTGTGGAATCCTCAGCAGAGAATGATATCTTTATTTTTTTTATTTTTGCAAAAATGATATGCATACTTGGGGAAGTAATGGAGAAAAAAAGTGTATGCTAAGGAAAGTATGATACAAGGTTGTGATGTTTTTAAATTATTGGTGAAAACTGGACAGAATGGAATAATGGTTGGAAGTGCAGAGCAGTGTTTTTCAAACTTGGCAACGTTAAGAGGTCTGGACTTCAACTCCCAGAATTCCCCAGCTGGTTCAGCTCAGCTGCCTGTGGAATTCTGGGAGTTGAAATCCAGTCCCCTAACATTGCCAAGGTTGAGAAATACTGGCATAGAGCGTTGACAGAATGCCCTGTCAATCCAAAACAGATTTATGCTGATTACTAAGTAGTCAAATTCAGGATGCACCAGAGTCCTTTTGAAGTGAGAGGGGAAGATAGTTCTCTCAACTGTAAAACATGTTCAGCTGGATTTCAATTTAGGCTCAACAATCTGAAAAAATGGCACCGATGCCAATTCCCATGCAAAGCAGCTATTCTTATGTGTTTTTGGATGTCCCTTCCATCCAATTTGATACCTTCTGCATGCCTGTTTCTTAAAAATCTCTTTCTCTGTCCCTTCCAATAGCATTGATTGTTTGGAATTCCACCCCCAAGCCCTAGACCACACAATATGAACAATGTCTGGACACCGTCCTACAATCCGCATGCACCGAAGCAAAAAACAAGATGGCGGTGCCTATGGCACTGCCAAGAGAACCGGTTAAAGGGCGTGGCAGGCCGAGTTACTACCTACTTGACCGAACTGGTATGAACCGGTAAGAACCCACCTCTGCACTGGGGATGTATTGGATTCAAGAAGGTGAGCAAGCATTGTTATAGCTCGTTTTCCATTGGCATCAAGATAGAAATTTACATCTTATCAGGGAGGCTCATATGCTAGTATGTTACACTTTTGTCTGTCATATTCTAGTCTGACATCCTCTAGTCCAGTGATGGCGAAGCTTTTTTGGCTCGCGTGCCAAAAGCGGGGGGAGCGCTGGGGGGGAATGTGGGGCCGGGTCACACCCATAATGCTATTCCACAACTTCAGTGCGCATGCGCGCACAACCAGCATCCCCCCCCATTTTTCACGTGCTTTTTTCGCCCTCCCCAGGCTCCAGAGGCCTTATAGGAGCCTGGGGAGGATGAAAACAGCCTCCCACCCCCGGAAGCCCTCCAGAGGCTTCAGGAGCTTCCCTAAAGCCCCCGGAGTGCGAAAAACTGGCCCTACGAGCAAACCGGAAGTTCGGGAACGGACTTCCGGTTTGCTCGTAGGGCCGGTTTCAGCCCTCTGGAGCCTTCAGGGGCTTTCAGGAGGCTTCCCTGAAGGCTCCGGAGGACTAAAAACGACCCTATGAGCAAACCGGAAGTTTCCTGACAAATGGTTCCACATGCCACCTGTGACACATGTGCCATAGGTTCGCCATCATGGTTCTAGCCTGTTTCTTCGTATGGAACCCAACCCTCAGGTAGATGCTTGGCAATGCCAGCCAGGCACAAAAGCAAAATGAGGTTTGGTAAGGTTGAGCTCCAATCACTGGTTACGGTTATTTTCCTGGCTTGCTGCTCACGTTGCTCATCATCTCTACTTCTCACTCAAGTTCCATTGTTTCCCGTGGTCCGCCATTTTCCTGATGAAGCACACAGCCCACTTTGTTGTTGAAAAGGCGAGGCAGGCTGCCCTTGTGGAAATGCCTACCCTGGATAGACCGTTCCTTCAAACGACGCTTGTTCCGCTTACAAATCTGCCGGATGTCCCAGATCCTCAGCGTGCCATCGTGGGAAGCTGTGTACAATAATTCATTGTGAATCTGGAACAACAGGGCCATGCTTAGCATCGACAGTCACAACGCGAGACGGAAGCAGAGACAGAGCTCTCTCTTGCTTTCAAAGCAGAGGGGATTATGTGGAAACGTGGTTCAATCCAGTTTCGATCAATACGTAAAACTCAAGAAAAATAAATCTAAAGTCATCCCAATTCCTCATGCAAATGAAGGAACTAACATTATAAAAGTATGGGTGATTGTATTTCCTTAGCATTTTTTTTAAAACTGTAGGAGTTATTAAACAAAGTAAAAATGTAAAAGCAAGGGAAGAATTTATAAATAATACTGCAGGGTCCTTGGTGCTCTCTGAGCTTGATGGTTTTCTTTTAGATACCCAACTAGGTAACATCATCATTGCTCTCTGTTTATGTATAGGTAATTTCCCCCATCAGTGAGCAAACCTCTCTTCCTTCTCGCACTGATGATGTTACTGTTCTGACCTAGGCTTCCTAATACAGTAAAAAGCAGACGCTTAGTCCCCAAAACCCCTCTTTTTACTTCAAAGTCTGTGAATTATGTTCTTTCACAGCCCGTAATGAGTCCCAAACAGTTGGAAAGAGTCCTACAGTAGGCTGCCAAAGTCTTTCGGGATAAGGCTGATAAGCGCCCTCTTTTATCTTCCTTGAAACGCTGCCAAAGGCTTACTTGGCAATTAGCTTGGCAAGGCCACACGGAACAAAGAGTCAAAAAGGAGCTTCAGAATGTAAACCTGAACAAAGTTGCTTCCTGAAAAGGCTCACATGCCTTTGCTCCTCCTTTATGTCCTATGGGAGAGACCAATCACCTCCAAGTCTTACTTCCAAGTCATCCCTTCTGTCTTAACTGTTCTTGGCTTCTGGCAAATCTGCGCATGCGCGCACTGGGAACAGACTCCCTCTGTTCCTCTGCCTCACCAATGTCTAATTCTGGAGGTTCTGGAGGCAGCACTAACTCCCAAATGGCGCTGGCCCCGTCTCTGCCTCCGACACAGAGCCCTCATCTGAGCCTTTCCCAGACTCCAGGACTGTCCCATGTACCTCCCCTCATTGTCTGACTCTGCTGCCAGCTCCACAGGCCGCCTGCAGACCACAACACTTACCTAGTTTGGTAATGAAATGCCTGCAAGAAAAACACCAAGCTCTGGGGGCACCAAAAACTCCACAGTTCAACCCTAAGCTACAAATATTCTCTTCTATTGATATATTTTTTTGCAATAAGCATTATTGATGAAAGGGCAATCTTTATGAGTATCTAAAATGAAATGGCCTTATTAATACTTCGGACTGAATATTTCGGAATATGCAGAATATTTAAAATACATGAACAGATTCATCCATTGTAAAATCAGAGAATTTGAAATGTTGACAGCTTACCTGAATGCAGTTAATAACCAATTTATGGCCGCGAAACACTCTTTGCAGAATGCCAGTCTTCGTATTAAAAGCTCGCGCACAAGCATCACCGCTTCCCGTAAACACTGATGAGAAAATTTAAGGATGGGAGGCTTATTCAGATTATCTTACATTATACATCTCTTATAATATTTGTATCCCATTACATTATAATCCCAAAGGAAAGGGAACAGCTGTTGTGGCGCAGTGGTGAGAACACAGTATTGCAGGCTAATTCTGCTGACTGCCAGGAGTTCGATTCTCACTACTTGAAGATTGACTCAGCTTTTCATCCTTCTGAGGTTGGTAAAATGAAGACTCAAATTCTTGTGGACAATGTGCTGACTCTGTAAACCACTTAGAGGGGGCTGTAAATCACCATGAAGCTGTGTATAAGTCTAAGTGCTATTGTTATTGCTACTGCTATTGTAGCCTACTACAATAAAATGGAAAATAAATACAATGCTGTAAATATAATATATAGCTCTGCCAAATATCAAAATTAGGGACAAATCATAATAAGATGCAAATGACCTGGTGAAAACAAAAGTAGAGAACAAAATGGATGAAATATTGAGTCTTTTGGATTACCTAAACTCAAATCTATATTATGAATAGGGCAAAATATAAGTCCCTATAAACAACATATATGAGACTATATAGAGTTTTGTTGTTGTTGAAGTAACCCTCTGAAATAGGCTACAAGGGACACACTTTGTAGGTATCAATGAAATTCCTGTGAAAGGAATTCCAAATCCATTTTTGGGGGGGATGGGTTCTGTGTTCATTTTAGTTGATTTTCATCCTTTATAAAGCTTATACATGCCTGACTATATTTTAACTCCTGGAAATTTTAGTACTATCCCAACTTACAACTGTGACTGAGCCTGTCATAAGATGTGACAGTTGTAAAGCAGGTAACCACATGAATGTGCCTGATTTTACCATCTTTTTTGTAGTGGTCATTAAGCAAATGGGGAGGGGATCGATTTCCCATTTTGAATACAGGTCAAAAGTATCTTTTTCATGGTCTGTCGTAACTTAAATGGTTGCTAAGCAACTGCTTTTAGGTCAAAGACTACCTGTATTGGAAATGTGCTTGCTTTTCAGACAACTATGGTTAGTTACTGTATACTGATATACAATACCATACTATGAACTGAAACTATAATCAGGGAAATTGCTATTAATTGTAATTACAGTAATTCAATGTGGTATACAAAACTAATTAACCATGTGCTGGAATTAGTATTTAAAGTCACTTTTTATTTTATTGCTAACATGAAAAGTCCAATAATGATGGTGTTAAGTGTCTAATAAATTCATTATATAGAAACAATTTAATAAGAAGAAAACAGGAATCAGTACTTTTTGCCACAGATAACTATAGAATTGCCTTTACATCAATAGAGTGATGGATCGGGGAAGAGCAAATCTGTACTTTAAATTCAAGGCAACTGTTGTGTTGCATTTAAATTCATTAATAACACACCAAAACATTCATTCAGGGAACCTAATTTAACTGAAAATCTTGTCAGGGTTCCAAATTGCATCAAAAATTAAATCAGAGTACAAGGCAATGTATTGCTCAAAGTTCCAATTTATTAAGAGAGCCATGTTGGTGCATCTGGGAAAACCTGAATCTGAAGGCTTCCCGGTTTTCCCACCCAGTTGAAAATTCAAGATCTTGTCCCCCTACCCACAAGCCCATCACATGGTCCAATCATCCACTGCCATGCTGGCACCTTCCACCCATCCAGTTCCGGTCAGGTGCAGACAAAGGATGACCTTGGCTTTCTAGAAAGAATTTTGTTATGGCTACATATCATCTAACTCTATACAATCCCCCTCCCATTTTCCCACAATAGAAAATGCTTAGTAGAATAATAGAAAGTGTGGCTGGCCAAAGATCCAAAAGAAAAGATGGCTGCAGGCCTGACATATCTATTTGAAACATCAATCAATTGTAATCAATCAATTGCAATCTATTAGGAACATCAAGTTACTCTTGAAATGATTTATTAATAGAACCTCATTAGCAATATTGGGTGGACTATTTTACCAGATGAATCTTGCGGTTTAATTTTTGCTATTTATTGATGAGGAATTAACAATTAAAGAAGTTTTTAATAGTAAACAACAAATCTCTGTCAAATATTTACTCCCTGTGCTACTCAAGATTTCATTTCTCAACATTAAAGTGCCCAAATAACTCCTCCCGTATCCAAAATAATTGTCAACCCTGAAGTTGACCAGACTGAAGCCATTTTGAAGCGTCAGTGTTGCTACACTGGAGCTGAGAGATAAGGAGGGGGGGAATAGAGATAGCTGGGGTTTTGTGGCCAAAACAAAATACTTTCTCCTGGGAACCAAGGGCATTCTCACACCTGCTCCAAGAGAGGAGGAGTGACATTACCAGGGAACTGTATGGCACCTTGATAGGACCTTGTAACTGATTGTTTTGAGAAAGTGAAAAACTATTGCTTTTAATTAGGTGAAAACCATGGGAACCTTCAGAGTCGGATTTCACCAGAACTGTGCCAATATGATATATCCAATAAAACTATTTTTTGAGGAATCTACCTCCCTTGGAGTTTTGTTTACTGTGGGATTATTATTTGGAACCCTGACAATAATATGGGCAGGCCAATTGTCAGCCTTACCAGGTAGGCCTGACAGGAAATGCAACCAGCTGAGCTAATCCTACTTTATTGTAAGACTACACTGGCAGAATCTTGTTAGTCTGAAAATACAAATCTCCCTCTTTCTTCTTCACAGCCTGAGAAATTAAGATAGGTTCTTTCTGAGTCTCGTTCTCTGCCATCATGCAGCTGTAGGCCGTGCCATCTGATCATTTCCTAGGCAGCATTTATTTCTTTATCCCTTCTCTCAATGTTTTTCTCACAATTAAGAGTTATAATTTAAGAAACAAGGTGTGGAAGAGAGAGAGAGAGAGAGAGTGTGTGTGTGTGTGTGTGTGTGTTTTATTTGTGCTGATAAATAAATAAAGGGAGACTAGTATAGA